TTTCGCTCTTATGCTTGTAAAAAGCAGTATTTACATATTTCGCATCACGAAAACATTCCTTCCACTTTCTGGACGAAGCATTCATGTATTCGTCATTGCTTCACCCATCAAATCCCCTCACCAAGCCCGATAATGATCATGAAAGTTCGATAAAACGGTATATGGCGTAAATCGCTTTGGCATGGATGCATCCTTGGTTTCTCAATATTTGTGTGAGAACCACAGCCTCTTGATCTACTTCATTTTCTATGCATGTAGTTCTACTGCAGGAAAGGAGTGGAGAGCAAGAACATTATCGGAGATGGTTCAAGGAGCATGGCTTTGATGTACTGGGAGATAGCTATCCCGAATACTTCGAAGGCGGTGGAGATGCGTGCTTCTCGACCTACGAAACGCTCTGGGCCGGCTATGGACACCGGTCAGGCAAAAGTGTATGTTTCGAAAACTGAACCGTTCTTAATCCAGCTTCCACACTGTTGGCCATTCTCAGCTAATATCAGATCGACCAGTTCCTAAATACAGCAAATGACCTGTTGCAGGCGTACGAACATGTACAAAAGCTAGGAAATTTTGAAACTGTACTGCTGGAACTCACTCATCCGCGTTTTTACCACTTGGACACATGTTTCGCGCCGGTCGATGAAACAACTGCTCTCTGGTATCCAGCGGCACTCTCAGAAAACGCCAGACGCGAGGTACAAATGCTCTCTCCCTCCCAAGAAAAACCGGAACAACTTCAAGTCAAAAAGAAAATGATTTTTCTTGGAAACTTATCAACTTTAAATATACATGGTTCCCATTCCTAATGCAGTTCCGTTCTCTGTAGATAACAAAGCGGATGCCGGATGTGATATCTATAAGTGACGCTGAGGCGGACGCATTCGTATGCAACGCTATCACAATACGCAAAATGGTATTATCACCAAAAGGAGTCTCCGCAGAAACGAAACACAGGCTCTCTAAGCGTGGATTTGGGGTCATGGAGTTCGATATGAGCGAGTTCATGAAATCCGGAGGGGCTTGTCAATGCCTCATTCTCAAGTTATGATACTCATGATTATCTGAGCAGTACATTGAAAGCTACCACGCCTCCTTCGCTCCATTCCCTCAATCAACACTCCGAGCAGGTTCATGCAAAATGCAAGTGTTTTACAACAGTTGCAGTGGCCAATAGATAAGACTGGCGAAGATGCCGTGGGTGAATGAAATGCGCCCCGAAGAACCCCTTTTGAATGGGAATTTCGACGAAGGAATAATAAACAGCAACGCGCACCGTGCCAGCCGATGCGACCATGCGTTTTGCGCAGTCCCGTCTAGCAAACGTTTACCCGCCAAGGATTTTCACTGCTTTTCGCTTTGATCTGTGCAAAAATAGACGAAACGTTGTCCGGTTCCTAAGTTGCATGTACTGGTGCGTTAAAGCTGAATTTTAAAGCAAATATCATCCCAAGATTTCAACCTCTCAATTTTCTGGCTTTCGAGGGATTTTTACGATAAAAATTTCACGTGTTATTACATAAGACTTCGGCATACTTAGGAAATGAATTTGGGTTTGAGTTTTCTGCCCTACTTACGCAGAAAAAATCAACCTGGAACTTCCAGCTTCCTAGCTCTTCTGGCTCCCAAGCCGATTTTTCCTGCCAAAACTTCCACGGACACGCTGAGACCCAGGTGTAGGTGAAAGGTGAATTTGAATTTGCATGGTCTTACATGGGCAGAGGATGCTACCCTACGACCCCCGCTATTCCCAAGGTAGTAATTTACCCGCCAAAACTTTCACGCGGTCATCCGTTATACCTGGGCGCAGGGGAAGGCTAAACTCAAATTCGCGGTAAGTTTAGCGAGGCTTTACTTGCGCAGGGGACATTATCGCCAAATCTCAGCTTTCCGGCTTTTGCAGTTCATCAGATAATTCCCCTGCCAAAACTTTCACGGGGCTGTACTTAGTACGCAGGGGCGCGTGGCTGGACCGAAATTTAGCTTGTAAGTTGATAGAGACATCATCCTAAAATTTCAGATTCCCAACTTCTGCGATTCCCAAGATAATTTCCTCGCCAGAATTTTCACAAGGCTGTAGTTGATACTCGAGAGCACGGAAGCGCTAAATTTAAGCTTGGAGGTCGTATGTGAGCAGGGGACATACTCATAAAATTTCAGCTTCCTAGCTCCCCTCGTTTTCGAGATAACAGTTTTACCCATCAAAATCTTTGCGAAGCTGTGCGTGTTACTTGCAGGACGGGAAGGCTGAACCCACGTTTCTGGGACGCACGGTGGCAGGGACGTTCATAAAATTTTAGCTTCCTAGCTTCCGTGGTTCTCGAGATAATTTTCCCTACGAAAACTATTACTGGGCAGTACGATTACTCGCGAGCACGGGAAAGCTCGATTTAAATTTGCTGGGTACGCGTGGGCGGGAAACGTCACTCTAAATTTTCAGTTCCCAATTTAGTGGTTCCCGAGTTGAAGGTTGCAGACAAGATGCATCGCATATATATATATATATATATATATATATAAACAGTTTTTGT